CTGCCCTCATATAAGGTACTATGATGACCTCAAGTCAAAGGACCAATTCCACTATCGAACGTTAGAGATTATCCACTAACACTTAGATAGTTATCCATGTGGAATCTCTCAGCGGGTCTCCAATGTTTTGTTCTATAACAAAACATTCACGTGTTCGTTCAAGTGTCACCACACTTTAACTTGTGAGATCAGCTACTTACTTCACAAATAAGAATGCCACACGCGATGATTTATCCGTAATAACGATATCCGTATCTCGTTATTATTTCGACCACGGATAATTTAAGATTCGATCATATGTAATTTGTATCTCACAATCACAACTCTTTGTGATTAACAAATCACAAAAAATTGAATCTACGGATTCTATTATTTAATTTATTAGAATATTAATTCAATTAAATAATAGATATTGTCATACATATACATCGATTATAAATATTGAAAGTGTTTATGTCCAAAGTTGATTGGATTTAGGGCATAACACTTACACCTCTATTGTCCAAGGTTTTGTCCATATTCATGTGATGACTTAAAAACATCTATTCACTTACCCCTCGTCCAAGGTTTTGTCCATGTTCATGTTTGGTTGATAAAGAAGTTCAAGCGTTTTGCTATAATTCGAGAAACATGTTTGGTTCAAATGCTACTTTTGGTACCATAGATGGGCTAATTTTTTTTTCCTCCAAATATATTCATATTTTATTGTCCACTATCGACGAGGTACTATTTTGTGCTATCATATTTCGACAACTTAATTTGAGCATCGGGGAACTTTTGCTAAGCGATTTCATAACTGTGTAAGATGGTTATTATTGCACTAGGCAACAATACTTAAAAAGATTCTCGTATAGTCAAATGGATAAGACGGATTTTTAAGGTCAAGAATAGTTTTTTAAAAAAAATTAAGAAAAAGAAAGATAATTAAAAATAATGCCGTTTGTGGGTCTTCACATGAGCCTAATGTTTTTCATTTGAACCGGTTAGAGTAGGCCAAATATTTTGGAGTCATTTGGTGATTGAGAAAGGAATCTTCAATAAACTCTTCGCGTTCACACTGCCATTGAGATATTTAAACCTTTATTACCCAAAATGCCCTCCGAATGGGTTTCCATCGCATGTTGCCATGTAGGATCTCTTGCTAAACGTATAATGTTTTTACTTTTCATATATTAATATCACAATTTTTATATTCAACCACTTTATGAATAAGTTACTACAATAAACACTTTTTTCTCCATCTCGCGCTCCTTCTTAGTGATCTCCAAACTATAAATCTTCACTTAATACTTGACCACATGTAGAGTAATTTGTTTTTGTTTTTTGTTTTTTTTTCTGTTTTTCTTTTTTTGTTTTATAATTAGCCCAGAGAATATATTAGTAGAATTTTTGTAGTATAAGTACATAAAAAAAGTGTTTATTTTAGTAACTTATTGTAGGGCAGATTTTTAAAGAGTGTACTTCAAAAATTAAATTTAAGGTTTACATATTCATAAATCAGGTAATAACTAAACTACTAATGTCCCTCCACCCCCACCCCCACCCAATCCCAATTCACTCCAAACGCATTTTCATTTCCTTCTTTCTCTATCTTCTCTATTCTTTCTATACTATTTTTTTCCTTCTTCACTAGAGCTCACAGCGACGATGTTGTTCATCGCTGTAAGCGTGGCCGTAGTAGAGAACTGGATGCCGTTGTGCGCGACGCTCAGATCGTCACCGTAAGCGACGATGTTGTTCATCGCTGTAAGCGTGGCCGTAGTAGAGAACTGGATGCCGTTGTGCGCGACGCTCAGATCGTCACCGCACGACAATCTAAGCCGCAAAGCTCAATTCGCTGCTTCGCAGCAACGAACTGATCGCCTTTCAATGACGAACTTGTGATTTGAGCGCCGTTGCAGCTGCGAACTGATGCAACGATTTTATTTTTTTTTTAGTTTTGCCACAGTTTTGGTTTTGTGTAGTTTTGGTGGTGGTAGCTGTGATCACATGTTCATAGATTGTATGTCAAATGTTTTGTTGATATCTGATGGTGGCGTCAGTGACGGTGATAGGTCACATATACCAAGTCATCACGGGTCATTGTACATAAATCACAGATAAATGTCGACAAATCATATATCAAATAAAGTTAGTTACAGATCATGTTTGCATGTAACGTGTCACACTTCACAGGTTACGAGCCACACTCCATAGATCACAAGGACATATTGTATAGGTCCCAAATCAATGTCAACTGGTCACATATCATATGTCACGTGTCTTTGTGCACCGATAACAAGTCACATATTCAAGTTCACAAGTCATATTTCATATGTTACAAGTCACATGTAAACAGTTCAAACGCCACGAGTCATATTGCATAGGTAATAGATATTGTTCACATGTCACATATCTAAGAGAACTGGCTATAAGCTATTAGATCAATATCACATGTCAAAAATTCAAGAGAAATGATTGTAGGCCATTATTTTATCTGACCTCAGTTGCTACTGTTGCATTCAAAAATTCTGATACGTAGTGCCGACAACTTTTAACTTGTGACCTCAATCGTCCGACGGGTTTCAATTAACTAGATTTCGATCGTGAGAATCGAAGTTATCTGCTCCGGTGAGTTCACTATAGATTATCTCTTTGTTCGATATTCTGATACATAGTGCTGACAACTTTTATTTTGTGACCTCAATCGCCCAATGAATTTTAATTAATCAAATTTCGACGGTGAGAATCGAAGTTATTTATTCCGACAAGTCTCATTAGACTCCATCTTTGTTCGATCTTCCGATACACAGTGCCGTCAACTTTCAATTTGTGATCTCAATTGTTCAACGGTTTCAATTAACCAAATTTCGACAATGAGAATCGAAGTTATTTACTCCGATGAGTTTTCTGTAGATTCTCAATACCTGTTTGATCTAGAGACGGAGATAGGGGCATGGACATTGTCTGTTGGTCTACTATTCCTAGTTAATTTGAAATGTATTTTTCAATTTCGCCCCAACAAAAATTTTTACTCACCCCCGGAAAATTTTGAATTTTTTTTCCATTAATAAATATTGACCAAATAACTTACACTTTAAAATTCAACCATACAAAAATCTTAGATATAAACAAAAGATCCAATAGTTACTTAAATAAACAAATAGCCCAAATTCAATCCAAAAGCAAATGTACCATTTATGAATTAATTGCCCAAAAGTAACTACAGAACGTGCATTTTCAGTTATAAGTGTCATTAAGATAAGGTTGCGTAATAAAATGGAAGATGATTTTTTGTCTAGTAGGACCAGTACCATGCTTGTGTATATAAAAAAGGATATTGTCGATACTTTTCAATTAGATTCTCTTATTGACGAGTTCGAAATGATGAGGACAAGGTGAGATCAATTTCAGCTGTCCAAGCCATCTCTACCATCTGTTATATAGATAAGCAGATTACATTTTATCTTTTTGATGTCCATCTAAGGTTCAATTTGTATAGCGTTAGACACATAGATGGATATATTGTTTTTGTATCGATAAACTAATTGTCTTTTTGATCAGTCAATCTAACTTATCTATTTTGGTACTCAAAATTGTCGTTTTCAATTCTCGTAGTTAAAAAAAAATTTCGGGGCGAGGGTTCGTCCTCCTCCACCTCCCGTATTTTCGTCCTCGCAAGATTGAAATCCTGGCTATGTTCCAGGTTTGATCGTCACTGTTAAAATGAAATCTTGTTTGGAATGAAACGTGTGTAATTGAATGCTTGATCATATATACTATATATATTATTTATCATCTAATTTTTGAATTTTTAAACCTTGTTTGAATAAAATGAAATTGAATATAGTAAACGCCTAATTTATATTGTTTCCTCGTAGAAATTCATCGAGGGAAGGCCAAAAGGTTAGTTTAGTCATTTTGAGTTGACAATCATCTCTCCAAAAAAGCTGTTAAATGCAAAATCCTGCGATTTGCACACCAACCCACTTTTTAATTCCTCACCTACCATGAAAATGGCCGTCGAATATACCATCCACACCAATCCCTGCAATCCAGATTATTGACCATGCGATCAATTCAATCCAACGTCTCTCATTCAGTTACTAGAACCTTCATCCCCTATATATTTACTACCTATAACGCCTTTTCATCCTCAGTTTCACTCGTGCTTACCACACTCTCTTTCTTCGTGGGTTTAGACATTTCCTGTAAGGTTAGTTTACTTCTCAGATCTCAGGATTTATCGGTCCGTTTTTGCTTGTGTTGACTTCTTGGTGAAATGCTCGTTATTTTTGTGTTTTTTCTCAAGTGATTTTGATTTTTCTGTGTTTATACGAATATATCTGAGTGTAGAACTGCTGAAAATGGTGAAGAACTACCCAACTGTGAGCGAGGAGTACCTGAAGGCCGTTGAGAAATGCAAGAAGAAGCTCAGAGGCCTCATCGCCGAGAAGAACTGCGCTCCTATCATGCTCCGTCTCGCGTGAGTTTCACACATCTTTTCTAGATTTATTCATTTTTTTTGGAATATAGAGAAATTTAGATTTTAAATTTACGGGTGTGTCGATTGACGTTTTATGAAAGCGATCAGTTTACTGAGCGATATTTGCGTTCAGGAAATCTGTTGTGATGTTAATAGTAATTACACCTAGTTATACAAGTTTTTTGATTCCGAATAACTTAATGAAACGATCGAGAATCGAGTTACGAAGATTTGTAGGTTTGACCAGAATAGCTAAAAGTCTTTCTGAAAATGTATAGGTTGACTTTGACCAAAAAACGGAACACGATATTTGATCTAAATTGAGTGAAATATTGGAGCTGTTGAATACATGATAATTGTATGACACTTTATGTGGGTGGGAAGTGGGGCGAGGTTGGCCCCACTCGCGAGCTCAGCTGACTTGCGCCCAAGGCGAGCTGCTTGTGTTTTTGAGAGTGAAAGTGCAATTTCGACAAAAAAAATAAAAATACCTAGCACTTGCCCCACCAGGGGACTAGTTGAGGCCAAGTGGCCAACTTCCTTGAAGCAAGCTGGCTCGTGCTCAGCTTGTCCCACGGGTGAGTGCCAGCTAGCCCGCGTGGTGGGCCGAGCCTAGCCTTATGGTAGGTGACCCGAGTGGCTCGACTTTGCCCATTTAACACCCCTACTTGTGTCCTTCTATAGACTTACCTTAATTGAATCCTGAACATGGGGGTACACTGTGGAGTTTGTATTGCAACTCTCGTACATTTGAGATAACATTTATCGGATTTTTAAAGTTTTTGCACTCAATGATCAGACAATTGAGATCATGTTTGTTGGTTTTTGAGCTCGATTCAATTCTTGCCTCTTTTGATTGAATGCTTTTGATTAAATTAAACTTAGAGAGCATGTTCTAGGTTTTTTGGTACAAAGAAAGTTTGGGTAAATGACTTGTTTTATTCAATGAATAAGTAAGAAGAGAAAAAGATAATTGACATTTTCAAAAGGGATACATTCCTGTAGTATTTGATAGGATAGTTTTTGAAAGCCAGCAGACCCACTCTGGTTGCCAACCCAGCTAGTTCACAGCAGTGCATTTTATTTGAATTTCTGAAATTTACTGCCCAAACAAACGTGTTCTCTATGCATGTATGTGCAGTGTAATGAATCATATTGCTAATGAGTTGATCGCTACATGGGCTTGATGTTGGAAATTTGTCTTACTTGTGATTGTAGATGGCACTCTGCTGGTACATTTGATGTATGCAGCAGGACTGGAGGTCCTTTCGGGACCATGAGGTTTCCGGCTGAGCTCGCACACGGAGCCAACAATGGCCTTGATGTTGCTCTTAGGCTCTTGCAGCCTATTAGGGAACAATTCCCTATCCTTTCTTACGCTGACTTCTATCAGGTAGTTTATTGATCCAGAATATTTATATTTTGAAATTCATTTCAATTTCCTCTAAAATATCATTTATTGGAATTATTTATATCCTCATCATGCGCATAGTTGGCTGGTGTTGTTGCTGTTGAAGTTACTGGTGGACCTGAAGTTCCATTCCATCCTGGAAGGCCGGTTAGTGATTTTCTTTAACTTAAGTGATGCATGTAATTATTAATGTTCATAACCTGCATTTGAATTGGAATGTGCACACTTTTTGTGTTATGATGTTGTCATATCATTTTAGCTTATTGTGCTATTTTTTAGCGATCTTTGGATTCATGAATGGAATTTTCATGTAGAAGTTTGTTCTAATCAAGATTTTGACTTAGGATTTTCAAGTCAATCACATTACTTAGCACTTGATTAGTAATACTTGGAGCCATGATTTCTCGATTGTTTTTATGATAGAATGTCGAAATAACTTGTTTCTCCATGTTTTATACCTTTAACAAATAATAAAAATATTTTGGATGATTTATAGTAAAATTCTATTGCCTCTTGTGGTCTCATAGTTAGGTAGAGTTGTTCTGCAAGTACAAAATTAGCTTTTCATATAATTTTCTTCTTGATGAAAGACATTGAATAACATGCCATTTCTCAAATATCAGGACAAGGCAGAGCCTCCTGTTGAAGGTCGTTTGCCTGATGCTACAAAGGGTGAGTTCATAGTTTTATCAAAATGTTTTTAACAGGGAAGTGTTTTCTTAAATTATGATTCGCAGGATCTGATCACTTGAGGGATGTTTTCATCAAGCAAATGGGTTTGAGCGACCAGGATATTGTTGCACTCTCTGGTGGCCACACCCTGGTCCGTATTTTCTGTCATTCGGATACCAAATGAAAACTCTTACTTGCCTGCCAGTAATTTATTAATAGCAGTTGTAACGATGATTTTGCTTTTTTTCTCCACAGGGACGATGTCACAAGGAACGATCTGGATTTGAGGGTCCCTGGACCACAAATCCCCTCATATTTGATAATTCTTATTTCAAGTAAGACCTGTTTGTATTTGTTTCCACTTGCAGTTTCGGAACATTTTCTTTTGATTAATAATAATTGGTTTGTATTCGTCTTTCAATAGGGAGCTTCTCAGTGGAGACAAAGAAGGCCTCCTGCAGTTGCCATCTGACAAGGCTCTACTCTCTGATCCTGCCTTCCGCCCACTCGTCGAGAAATATGGAGCCGATGAGGATGCATTCTTTGCTGATTATGCAGAGGCTCACCGGAAGCTTTCTGAATTGGGATTTGCTGATGCCTAAGCTTTTTGGGATTGTTACCGCAAAGTAGGAGTGATGGCCTACTTTTGCCTAGTATCATATTCTAGTTTTGGGGAAGTTTGCTGGACTTTTAAACAACCCCTTTTGCTTGTTTTGATGGATATTTTGAATTTTGAAATTGGTGCTTTTCAATCAAGTTATTGTCATCATTTACCTCAAACGTAAGATAGGGCAGAATTATTTGCTTGCTCTGTTTGTGTCCTTGTGTGTAGATGCTGAAATCGTGCAGAAATTCGTTGATCAAATCCAAATTCTAAAATAAAAATAGGATTTAACATGTACAAGTATTAATCATTTACTTTCCTGATAGTTTTTTAGTTTTATCCTTGTGTTGAAAAAGGTAAAAGGTGGATGTTAAGTTATTTTGAGATAATGATGGAGTATATTGAATAAAAGCGTGTATTGATCACAGGCTTTATCATGAATCCTTGAACAAATTTAACGTTGTTGGGCGTGGAGAGAAATACTTTACGGGAGACGAGAAGAAAGCTAAGTGTCTCGTACCACCCGTGAATTAAATAACAATCGATACCATTTCCACAAATATTTGTCTTTGATTGCCTTTTTTGATTTCTCGATTTCGATCCCGTGATAAAGCGTCCATATCAGTCTTGCATCCTGACTCTTTACATGGAGGACAAAAAGGTGGTGGACACAAGGAAAGCAAGACTAGTTATATTAGCACCACCATTTTTATTTATCGCACTATATCGTAATCTGAATTTCGTTCTTGTTGATGATTTTTGTGTCAAAATGTTTTATTTCTGTGCTTTGAAATTGAAATATATCTTCAACATTATTATTTTTAAATATAAAGGAAAAATGAGTGTTGATTAATGAAATATTGAAGAGAAAAATGCGATGAAAAAAGTTGATATATGTGTGCTAAAACAAGCAAAAATTGAAGATTTTTACGTACAATCAAGATGGAGTGCTGCAACAAAAAAAAAACTATAGTGCAAATGTAATTACCATTCAGTTTTTTCGATTTTTCTATATCTTATATGAAGCACATTTTTATGACCATTATTTTGAGAAAATTGAATTTTGAACGTTGACTTCTCGGAGAATGTATAATTAAAAAGTGGGATAAAGTTTCAAATTTATATACAAAATATTTTATTGTATAAATATGTAATTGAAAATGAGTATGAAAATTAACGATTTTTTAAATAATGGTGGTCAAACTGGGGTTAAAAGAGGTTTGATAAAAATGGGTTTTCATCACGTTCTACATTTTCTTTTCTAGCAGTATCCTAGCATTGATGGAAAAATATTAGTTTTCACAGCTCGCCTCTACAACCAAACATCGTAGAGGCCCATGACCCGTATGAAAATTTAGTCGCCGAACACCTAAACCACAGTGCCGTGCTGGGCCAAGGAGTGTTCGGTATGGGCCATCTCGAAACCGGACAGCCCACCTTACAAGACAAAGACGTTATACATAGAATCAAAAGACAACCCCACTCTTATTTATTCCACTTGTTCATTAACTTTTCTCTACTTGTTCTTTTCAGTAATGTCAAGTGGAGATAAACAACTATCAACTTGTCCACAAGACTACGACTCAGAAAAGAAAAATAATCAACAAAATATACGGCGAACGGGAATCCAATCTTATATATCAGTTACACGAAAATTTACACTTCCGGGGCAGGTGTAAAATCTCCAACATGAAGAAGAGCTAACATCATTTATACAACAGTTCTAACAACCCTTTTCAGAATACTGTAACTAGTAATCTTTGCTCATTATCTTCTTGCACGTGAACTTGTTAACGAGTCCCTAGAAAGTTTGTCACGCGTGTATAATCCGAAACAACTGTACAGTCACCATCCAAGTTCTTGAGATCATTATCTGTTTAGCGTGGGATCAGCAATTTATTACAGTGGAGAAGCAGAAGGTTTCTGATAGGCATGAATAGTGTTTTTATGGATGGCGTCGCCAGCACTTCGTCTACGCTGCCTCTGTCGGTTGCTCATTTTGTTGTGAGTGTTCTCTACATTTTTTGAATCCTGAAGTTGCTCCAGTTCTTTGACTATTTCTTCCATGGTTGGCCTCAGCTTAGGTTCGACGGATATGCAACGCAATGAAAGGGTAGCCACCCGATGTGCCACATCCATTGAGTACTGGCCTTCAAGGCGGTTGTCTAAAACCCGAAAGAGTTTACGCTTGTTGGCTAAGTAGGGTTTGGCCCATTCCACCAGCCTGTGTTCTCCAGATGGTTTGTTTTTGTCAATTGCTCTCCTGCCAGATATCATTTCAAGGAGAACAACTCCATAACTGTACACATCACTCCTGGCAGTCAAATGACCTAATTCCAAATAACGTAAATGAACATTAAATGAGAACTAAAGCGTTTAAATTATAGTAATGTTCAACAAGAAAGCAGAATCATAGGACACAGTTATGCTAAAAAAATAAAGAATCCGAAAAGAAACTACTAAGAGCAATTTACATAAAAGTAACTTTTTAAGCTGAGCCAAGCATGCTCAAGTTGCAATTTTATTTGGGATCTTTGAAGTCCTGGTTTCACTATCTTTCTACTTTTTGAAACGTGTCACAAATTGGGAAAAAGTGATATACTTCAAAACCGTACCCGTTGCTAGATATTCTGGAGCTGCATATCCATAAGTTCCCATAACCCTTGTGGATACGTGGCTTTTATCACCTGTCGGCCCATCCTTGGCTAATCCAAAGTCAGAGAGTTTTGCATTGTAGTTCTGCCAAATTATACGATAAAGAAATTCACAAAATTAGCTGAGGTTATCTATGTACTTCTTTTGGCATGCTAGAAGGTAGGAATATTTACCGAATCAAGCAATATGTTGGAAGTTTTTAAGTCTCTGTAAATAACTTTCGTTTCAGCATTGTGAAGAAAAGCAAGCCCCTTTGCAGCTCCAAGAGCAACCTTAAGGCGAAGACTCCAAGAAAGAGGCTGGAAATAAGAACCTCCTGTTGCATGAAAGTTACTACATCAATTTAATAACAGCTAGAATAATATTTGGATATTTATATCTATATAGATATTTGCAAAATTGAATTCTCACTCCTAAATAGATGGTTCTCTAAGCTGCCTCGAGGCATGAATTCATACACCAAAAGTCGATGTTCATCCTCCAAGCAATAGCCAATCAGTTTCACAAGATGAGGATGAGAAAACTGCCCCAAATAGTTTACTTCTGCCTATAAGAACACACAAAGTATATTAAAGTCCTTATGTCATTAAACATTTTTATACTCAGTCGAAATTTCAATTTAATGTTTTATATTTCCGAGAAACTCACCAACCACTCTCTGTGGCCTTGAAAACTTTCCCGGAGAAGCCTTTTTACTGCAATAACCATGCCAGTCCCAGCCTTTGCAGCAGCAAACGAGTTCTCATCAACCCAACCTTTAAAAACTGAGCCAAATCCACCTTCTCCAAGTACACTATCGAGTCGAAAGTTCCGAGTGGCCATCTTGAGATCAGCAAAACTAAAGCTCTTCAAGTTTGAAGCCAGCAAGATCTCACCTTCACTACGAGGAGTAGGTGGCACCGATATTGACAAGACCTTGCTACTCAAGTTGCTCAAATCGCCCCCATTAGTTTTCTCGTATTTTGAATTTTCCCCTAACAAATTCAATCAATGAAACAGTTTTAAAATACTAGAAATCACTGTGTTTTTTCAGTAGAACAACACATCCCTATTAAACAATCTTGAACATCATTCTGTTCAGAAATTATGCCTTGAGAAAGCAATCTCAACAAAAAATCGACAACTACGCTATCCAATTCAACTGTTTATTGTGAAGCCACCCATTCGCAGGAGAATTTGAAGCTAATGACTCAACAAAATAAGAGAAAAACTCAGAAATAATGGAAATTGTTGTTCCTATTCATTTACATAAGCAGTAAGATTAGAATATCAACATAAGCTGCCCTGGTAGATCCCACCATAACACATCAAAATTAAACTTCAAAAATATCTATTATTGCACAAATTAACAAAAGTTCTTAAGATTTTAAAGAAACTAAAGCCCAGTAAATATTTACTTGTATGAGCTGGGCTGCTTTCAGCTTTGATTCTAGCACTCAAACAAATCCCCATAGTAAAAAAGAACCCACCTTTCAGTTTCTTGTTCTATATAAATTCTGCAGATCATAAAAAGATTCAAAGTGTCAGATCTAAGGCACGAAAAAAAAAAATTAAATTTAAAGAAAGCCCAGAAACATTGATGGATTGAAGAAAAGTAAATGCCCACCTCTATTTCTCGAAAATAAGCACAAATTTACAGCTCTGGTAGCAAAGAGAAACAGAATAAAGATGGGCTTCTTGTGCGTGTAAAAGAGAGAGATAGAAGAGTGGCTAATGCATATTCAGTGGGGGCATATGATGGAGAGTGAAGGTTGGAATATTAATGGGGGCATGGGACCTTAAACCTCCTACTTTCTCTCTCTATTGACTGCCGCTTTTTGACTCTGGTTAGTGTACATGAACACGATGACGTTACCGCCACTCAAGATAAATTTTAGCGGCTCGGCTAAATTACACCCTACTATTTGTTTAACAAATTTTGCTACTTGTATATAAAAAAAAAATGTTCATAATTGATTAATAAAAGGTCCCCAATTTTATGTAAATGTGATCCACTTGTCTCTAACTTATCATATATTATATTCACGTCCTTCATCTTTTAAATTTTAGAACCCATGTCCTAGCTAACGGAAAACGTTTGTTTGAAGGTTGAACAATCACATTACACTCACGTAATGCTGGACTGAAATGTTAAAATTGTTGAAAAAGATATTCTATATTCTAAACAACCCAAAAGATAAGTTCAAATTCCATTTAAAATTTAAATATGGCTCAAAAAAATCAATATTCGTGGAATATATCCTCTTAATTTAACCCATCATGTAATAGTGATTGACATCCATTTTTAAAGAAGAATTTGATTTAGAATAGTGATTGATGGAAGAATATGTGGTTAAAAAGTAA